CCCCCCCCCCCCCCCCCCCATCAATATGATGTCATCACTGGATCTCTGTGCAATGCAGGCAAATCATGGCTGGTGGTAGGGGTCGACAGGGTGTTGTACTTAGCTTCCTGAAAACATCACATCACCCTGCCACAGTACTTCTCTCAAGAGCACTTAGCCCATGATTCAGTCTGGAGGAGTGGACATTCCTAGGCCGACTGAAGTGCACAGTGTGCAATTAAATCAGAGTAAGCAATTTCAGCACAGGAGAGGAGCCTGTACAGCTTTGTAAAACTAAAGGTGGCCATACACTTTACAACCATTGCAAGACCTTAGTCTTGCGATGGTTGTAAAGTAATTTAAAAAACATACAATCTGCCCATCTTGGACAGGCAGATCGTACTTGCGATCATCGAAAGCCCTCCCCGCTGAGGGGCGGGCTTCGATGACCGCAATGCTGAACAGGCAGTGTGTGCGTGCGCACACCGGCCCGTTCGGCATTTGTCTCCCGAGCATGCCACAAACCAGCCGAAAATCGTAAGATTTTCGGCTGGTTTTCGAACATGCTCCTTAGACAAAAGACTTGCGACCGTACAGTAAAAACGGTTGCACGCCTGCCATACACTTTGCAATTTATCGTACGATCGCGGGATTTCCCGCGATTATCGTGCGATAATCGCACAGTGTATGGGCACCTTTTAGAGTAATAATGGAGTTCAGTTTTAAACACTATAAAACTAACTAGAGACTAATTTAAGTTAGAAAGCCTGTGTCTCTCCTGTTATAGATGAACGTCTAGCAATTAGTAAACATTTGAACAGCACAACTTCACCCGACAATGACATGGCCCAAATACTGAATTTTAACAGTACTTTTAGTGTTTAATAATGGGGGTTCCAAATGGTTATTCAGTTGTCATTTTCGCTTCAAAATCACCATTTTATGATGATTTCTGATTATCTCAGCTACTGAATTGATAAAACAAAGGCTTTTTCAGAACCTGAAAACAAAGTATCATTACTACTGTTATATGTTCATTCACATATTTTGCTCATACCCAAACCAAAGAGTCCGATACCCATGTTTGATTTCCTTGGTGCTTAGGTGTTGGTCATTGCAGCAGATATGATCTAATCCTTAGTAATGGCAGTTAAAGTGACACTAAACTCAGGAGTTCAATCTTAAAAATACATTTCAAGTACCTTAACTGTTAACAAAAATGTATCTTATTTGTGTATCACTCAGCTGTTGATCCTCAAATCGTCCCTGAATTGGTGCTGACACTTACATCCTTCGGGAGGGTGGCTACTTTTATTGTCTATGGTCTCTGTGTAAAGTAGCCACCGCTCCAAGCTCACTCCCATGTGATGGACTACAGTCTCAATACAAATCAGCTAGCTAAACATGAGATTGTAGTCCATCATAGGAGTGAGCTTGGAGCGGTGGCTACTTTACAACACACACAGGGACCATTGGGAACAAAAGTAGTCACCCTCCTGGAGGAAGGACAGTATCAGCACCAATTCAGAGATGATTTGAGGATCTACAGCTAAGTGATACACAAATAAGATACAATTTTGTTAATAGTTAAAGAAGAACTCCAGGAACAAAATTTCTTAACCTTTTCAGTCGGGGGTTAAGTGCTTGTTTTTGTCTAGGTTAAAAAAAGTTACACTCACCTGATGTTTTGAGCCGGCTTGTTCTTAGACCAGTTCTTCCAGCCTATCTCTCTCTCCTCTGCAGCAGTCTAAGGTCCTGTACACAATGCATAGACGCGAGGACGCCGATGAAGATTGCAATGCTGCAGGGAGGGGGTGAGACAGGCTGGAGTGAATTCTGTGACAGATGGCCAGTTTTGAGCTTTCGGTGAGTATAACTTTGTTAATTTAGCACCTAGACAAAAACAAGCACTTAACTCTTGCAGTGCAGGGATGGCCCCACTGGAAGAGTTGAGAAAATGTTTCACTGTAACATATTCTTTGCCCCTTTATGTAATTTTTTTTTTTTTAAATTAGATATCTCTGTAACTCTTTTACATAGATTACAAGCAATAACATATACAAAAAGTTTGGTATTACCTGATTCTTTTTTTATTTTTGTTTTTTCTTATAGTATATAGTAATACGGAGTTAGCCAATACATTCCTGGTGTCTGATGCTGAATTTTCAATTCATAATCTTATCATTCACTCTAATGACCAACTGTGCTTCTATTTTACCCACCTGGAATCTGCAGTGGTAGAAGGAACAAACCATCACCATAAAACCTGTGAACGAACAGCTGGAAATGTTCATGTAAATATATATTTCTATTTTATAATCTGCATGCTTTCTTAATGTGTCAACTTTTTCATAGGCACCTACTTTTATTCTACAAAGAAAATCTTTGGTAGATCACAGACCTAGTTTTCTGAGGTTCCTTTATGAAGCCGGTGTGGTTGATTCAGAAGGTTCAGCACACCCAACTTGAAAGAGAAAAAATGTATTGTTTTACAAACTGCTGCCTTAACATTCTCAAAAGGATCTTTCATTCTGTGTATGTTTTCCTATCTTCTATGCATTCTGAAAAGAGAAAGGGGTATTGCAGTGTTTTTGTACCACTAGAGTGCAGCAGAGGATGATGTGATTCATATTAGTCACGTTTAGGTTAGTCACGTGGGAGGAAAAAAAAAGATAGTCGAGTTCCTCCAATTGTTATGATTATACCTTTTATTAAGCTCATTCTCTGTCATGGTTAGCTGCGGTCCAGCACTAAGCCTAGGAGTGAATCAGTTCAGTTTCCAGGTATAATGCTCAGCTGGGGCTATCGCAGGCAGCAGTTCCAGCTCTCAGCAGTAGCTGAGAGCCAATGCTGTTTTATAATGACTCTGAGACAAGCAAATGTCTTCCAGAACCATAGTTAAAGTCCCTACAAATGCAAGATGACCAGCCACAAAGGATACAGCGATTCACCAGTCGACACCTGCTGGGTAGTTATCAGTATGTCCTATTGTTAGGTAATAGCAAACCTTTATTAGCCAAAATGTGCTAAGTTCCCATCTAAAGCACATTTTTTTGCACCTCCGTTTATCTAGAAGAAAAAAAGTTAGCATTTCATAGCTGAATAGACTTATTAAATCTTTCCAAAAACATGGTTATATTCATTTTTAGTCCACAGAAAATGTCAGTACTGTCCTAAAACACTTTAATTTCTAAATGACTTGTAATGGACATTCTTCAGCAGGAGGAGCTGCTTGGTCCAGGGGTGTTAATGATTTAATTTAGTTCACTTTGGGGGTTTTAACAGTACCCGGGCACTCCCTTAATTTGTGTAGGGTGAGCAATCCGAACCAGGCATGGTTGAGCGCACCGTGCTCAGGACCTCTTGTAACGTGGTCTGGGCCTTGGTTCACTTGGAGTCTGGTGCGGATCACCAGTGTGAGTACTGAAATCTTAATGATCATGGAGCAAGGAAGGAGGGATGACTAGCAAAGGAGATAATGTAAGTGTCTGGTAACGTTATATTATGGCAGAGTGTTACCACAGACCAACAGGGGGAGTGGGGGACAATCGTACTCGGCCACTGATAGGTTCCAAAGCAGTGGTAATTGAGTAATTACAATCAGCCAAGCATAGGGTGATGTCATCAGCATTAAACGTTATATGTTGTTCTGATCCACCAGTTTTGGGGCAGGACGTGAGACATTCAAAGGACTTGTTTGTTAGAAAGAATAGATACATTGATGAGGGGTAACCCTGATGCGTGCCATTTGTTGGTCCTTGTTCTGGAGAAATAGTGTAACTGATTTTGGATATTACAACAATATCACAGTGAGGTTGTTGAATATATGAAATATAATTAAAGTGAAAGGCTTGCTAGCAGTAGATATATGCAAAAACATACGAGGCTTTAATAACTCTTTAAGCTCAGACCAAATTTTGCCAAAGTTTGATGAAGGAATCTCCAATCCATCTAAAGTTATCGCAGTCTATGGACATAACTCTTGAGCAACTATTTAAATGAATAATAGATTTATTATTTAATGTATGCCCTAATTTATTTTAGTCTCTAAAAACATTTTTGAAATCTGATGTGGGTGGATTACATTATTCAGGAATCTATTTAACCGGTTTGTTAACATCTGTGTGACTATTTTATATGTGAGGTTAACAAACAAATTAGGCAATATGATCCACATTGTAGGGATTCCTTATGTTCTGTTGGGATGAAGTTGACAAGGGGCTCTTTCATTGAAAAGGGAAGTGTTTCCTAATTAAGTGATTTAATTGCTATAGTAACAGAAAAGAAGGCTTTGTCACATAAAAATAAATGTATCTTCACACACCTTTGGGTGCTTGTTCCCTTGAAACATTCAGCCCCCCTTGGCTTTGAGATTAGGACTCTGATTACTGGGCTGAACAGCATCATTGTGTGTTATGATGCAGACAGCCACCTACACCATAACAACCGATGACGTTTTGTGGCCCAAGGCTGAACTTGTACTGAGGATAGGATATCAGTAGGGATGCACCGATACCGTTTTTTCGGTATAGAGTACGAGTACCGATATTTTTTTTCGGTACTCGCCGATACCACAAGTCCCATTCAGGAAGGCAGGAGGCATGTAATGACTCACCGCCCAGTTTCCTGATTAGCTGGGAAGCCAGGTGGTGCGTAATATCTCACCTCCTGGCTTCCCGATTAGCCAGTTGATGAGCCAATCAGGAAGCCGGGGGGCGGGTAATGAATCACCGCCCGGCTTCCTTATTGGCCAGCTTCCCGGCCAATCAGGAAGCTGGGCGTCAAGTCATTAGACGTTGCCTGGCTTTCTGATTGGCCGGGAAGCCAACTCCATGCTCCCTGTTGATGAGGGAGCATGGAGCTGGTTTTCCAGCCAATCAGGAAAGCCGGGCAGTGTGTAATGACTCTCTGCCGGGCATCCAGATACCGCAAGTTCCGGTATCAGAATAGGCATTGGGAGCATTTGAGCAAGTACTCAGTATTGGCACCGATATTTGTATCGGTGCATCCCTAGATATCAGTTATGGTGGCCCTGACTATGTTTCATGGTGCAAGATAGCGATTGTTACGATAGTCCTGCCAGAATAGCTACAAATTAATGCACACGTTTCTGTCGTGTACCTGAATTTGTTACATGGGTGTGCGACAGAATTATTACAAGTGTCTGAGGCACTCTATGAATCCCACTGATTACTTTTAATGAGTCAAATGTGACTGAGATTTGGTTTGAGAAAGATGAGAAGTAAGGTTCAATTACTGCATGACTTTCTAATTTCTCATATCTAATTGAAAACTATTCCTAGAAAGAAGATTTTTTTTTTTTAGATTTTTTAACTCCGAGCAAAAAGTTTCTTAACCCTTGTAATGGAGCTACCCCCACACTGCAAGGGTTAAGTGCTCGTTTTGATCTAGGTGTAAAAATAGCGAAATTGTCCTTCTAGCCTCTCCAGCCAGGTAAAAGTGGACCGAACAGTGACTGCAGCCAATTAGCTGATAGCTGTGGGCCCTGGTAGTCCGAATACAATAGCCGGCAGGGGACATTCATCCACGTAGTTTAGCATGGATGGGGAAATTGAGCAATTTACTTGTATTGCCAGCTTGAGAAAAAAAAAAATTGAATTTTTTGGGAAATTTAAAATAGTTTTGGATAGGCTTAGAAAAGGGTAGAAGCACTGTCAGGCTTTTACTGATTTTGTGGTTCTTGACTGCGTAGTTTCTGATTATTTACTATTACGATGACTTTTCCCACAGACAAGAAGTAAGGGGAAATCTCTCCAAAGAGATAGCAGTAAAAAAACAACAGATGTTATACCCATTCCCCACTCTAGTAAGAGAATATTATTGCTCTCATTGTCCCCGTTCGAGCAATTTTCCTTTACCTAAGTGACAAATTCACAGGGCAAAAAAGAAAGTGTAGGTCTTCCCAAATTGAGTGGCATGCTGAATCTCCCCCACGCTTTCCAAGCCAGAGTTTTGGTTTGAGTTCCGCTTTAAAGCCCTATTTCTTTTAAAATAAATACATTCCTGTGTATAACATAATAAAAGGTCTTTGTTCTTTGTCAGTCGTATCCACAGGTGAAAGCTTGTTCTCAGCCAGTATGCTGCAGAGATAACCATTGCTATCTGTGTAAGAGCAGCGGTCTCTCTACAGAGATCTGACACTCCCCGTCCGCTGAGTCACAGCTATAGCTGTCCAATCAGAGAGTATGATCTTTGCTGATTGCTAAGCTTTAGCTGTGACTCAGCAAGGAGTATGCCAGAATGCTGCAGAGAGACTGCTGCTTTCTCACAGATAGTAGCAATCCTCTTTAACATATTGGCAAACGATAAGCTTTCCTCTCTGGTTGTGGATTATCTGGAAAGAAAATAAACTAAGACATGAAGACCTTTTGTTTAATATACACAATATTTGTTCAACTAATTTTAAAGAAAGGTAGATATGGGCTCTAAACTTCTAACTGTCACATGTATATCTTAAACGGTAGATTAAGTTTATTTTTGAACTTTTAAAAGTAACGTGTATGCTTATGGTTCACACTAAAGCAGTACTCCATTTTCTCTCTCTCTCGTTTTGAACGGAGTGTACATGTATCATATACTCATAGTTTTTATGGTTGCATGTATCCCCATCAAGGAGATTTCCTGAACCAGACTTGACAGGAAGTTAGTGAACATCTCCCTATATAATGCTCATTTCTTTTTATTTGTATTTACTACCAGGGACCTGAAGTCAAGGAACGTTGTTTGGCGGCCATGCATTGCATGCTTAAAATAACAGCAAGCGATATAGTAACAGCTTTTGACCTTTCCAAGTACATTACTGCATGTGATTTAGGAGGTATGTTTTATGTTCCGTCTCTGTACCATCAAGGTTTTTCCTCTTGTGGGCTGCGTATACTATATATATGATTGCAGTTGAGCTTTTATTAAACTTGTTGGTGCTTAAAAATGTGAAGGTTGTCAATAAAGAGGGCAAAATGTTGGGTCACTTTTTCTTATCTGGTCTGTGTAAAAGTATTTTTTTTTTTCAGATGTAAATGTAAGAAATCAACTTGATGGAAGGGTATATAATATTTGGTGTGCTATAATGTTTTAAAAGCCTGGTTTCTATGTATACTTTGTGATTTGCAGTATATAAGTACATGGGGCAGACATATTTTCCCATTGCATCTTAAGGCTCTGCCTCCTTTGTTTTTACAGCTCGTTCTCCCAATCAAGTCTATTAGTTGGCCAGCCAGCTGAAGACCATGAAATATAGAGCTCCCTCTGGTGCCTATTTATAAATCTCTGTATTTAATACCATCACAAAAGTATGGAAGAGCAAGCATGTAGTAATGCAGAAGTCACATTTAGTGCTCGTGTATAAAGTACATGTGTAAAGATTAGGGATGCACCGATACAAGCATCGGTATCGGCGGCGATACCGAGTATTTGCATGGGTACTCGTACTCGTGCAAATGCTCTGATGTCTAAAACGAGTACCTGTGTCCGCCATCTTCCACCGCCGCACACCGCACACAGGACCGCATCTGCATTCATGCAAGATGGCCGCAAACTCCTTCTCCACGGGCCAACGGCCGAAACCAGACTCCGCCTTCAATTCCTCTGTCCTCACTCGTGATTGGTGGGGAGGCCTGTCAATCGGCCAATCAGCCGATAATTGCCGATTAGGTTTATAAAAAAAAAAAAAAATCACTACTGCTTGCTATTCTATCTAACTAAGCCTTGTATCCCCATATGGTGGAAAATGGATGAGGCTGAGCACATGTCAAGGCCCGAACACTGTAGTGCATAATGCATACGTATAGTGTGGAACAGTTATATTTATTTCTGCATACCTGGCTGTATATTAAATTTTTTAATGTATAATATACAGCCAGGTATGCAGAATTAGATATAACTGTGCCACACTACAGGTGTGGGCTGGGCACAGGATGGCATAAAAAAAAGTTATATCTGCCCCTTTAAGAAAAAGTATCGGTAATTGGGATCGGCGAGTACTTAAAAAAAAGTATCGGTACTCGTACTCAGACCCAAAAAAGTGGTATCGGTGCATCCCTAGTAAAGATGTACACCCTGGATGCAGAGTGTCTGCATGAGGTTGTACATCTGTACACATTTATGTGTTTATGCAAGCACTGATGTATTGATGCAGTATTCTGTGGGTGGCAATACACAGCATCTGTGGCTCTGGGTCAGGGAAATACACCTGAACTTTACATTGTACGGCCCCAGGTACCGTGTACTTGATCCCCCAAAAAGACTTTAAAGCAGACCTTTAAACGCAAAAGTAAAATTTTAGCAATGTACGTATGATGATTATTAATAACATACACATGTCCAGTGTAAAATGCTGTGATTTTGAAATACTTACACTTGCAGTGCATTCACTTTTCTCCTTTAACCCTTTCGCTGCCAAGGACGTATGGCATATGGACCTACAAAAGTGCTTCCAGCTGGCCAGGTCAGTATGCCATACGGACCTGGCATTTACAGTTCTACTATAAGCTGATAGTATAACTGTTCAGCAGACTGTCCCCTTTAAATTAATAGCTGTCATCAGCGGCTCACAAGCCGCTGATGACTGCTATTATCAAAAAT